CCCTCCCTCCCTTCTGAGACAGCAGACCCCACGCCCGGCTCCTCGTATGTGTCCCTCGTCCCAGGACAGCACCTCCAGGGCAGGGCAGACTACCACGGGCTGCCCCAGCTGCCCTGTCTCCAGAAAGATGGGCCTGCCTGTCGGGAACCACTTCCCTGCAGACTTCCCCTCGGCCCATCCTTTCCAGGCAGCCTCTGCACCGGGAGCCGAGGCAGACAATGCCTGAATCTCCTTCCCTTTTTCAATCCTCACCCTAGGGTGTTTCCCCCATTGCTTTTCAGAATGGAAGGGAGGGGGAGAGAACTAGATGTGTTAGAGCCACACCCATCGGTTGCCTCCTGCACATGCCCCCTCGAGGATGGAGCCTGCAACCAAGGCACATGCCCTTGACCGGAATCAAACCCAGGACCCTTCAGTCCATGGCCGACGCTCTAACCACTGAGCCAGACTGGCTAGGGCGCCACTTCTCTTTCTCTCTGCTGTGCAGTGCCAAGCACTGGGTGATGCAGGTGCCAGCTGAATGAGTGAGTGAGTGAGTGGCATTTTGTTCACTGATCCCAACTGAAGTGATAGGTTTTGGTTTTCTTTACGTAGGAACTAAGTTCTGTTTTTCCTGTTCTCTTCAGGTTTATCCAAGACCAATAAACCAATCCACACCATCATCCTGAACCCCCACGTGCACCTGGTGGGTGACGACGCCGCCTGCATCGCCTACATCCGGCTCACCCAGTACATGGACGGCGGCGGGATGCCCAAGACCATGCAGTCAGAGGAGACGCGCGTGTGGCACCGCCGGGACGGGAAGTGGCAGAACGTGCACTTCCATCGCTCGGGGTCACCCACAGTGCCCACCAAGTAGGTGTCCTGGCCGACAGCACGGCACTGAGCCCTTCCGATAGTGTGGCACGTGTGGTCACTCACGGGGGCATAGATACGTCACGTAAACAGGCTGTAGTCCCCTGGAGAGATCGGCCAGGCCAGCTCCTCCAGAGCTGAGACCTGCCTGGAGCAGCTCCCAGTTCCAGGTGGGAACTAGCGGGAGCCTCTTGGCCGAGCTCGCTCAGGTCCATCAGGGGTTCCTGTAAGAGGACAAACTGGGTGACTTCATTGCCACAGTCAGCAGTGGAAGGGGGAGTTTCTAAAATGGCCAGTGTGAGGTTAGAAGCTCCGTCCACAGGTTGTCCACTAGCTCAGTCTCAGACCTTAGGGGAGTTTTTAAAAACTCGGCCTCTAAAATAGCCAATGTCAGGCTACTCCATGCCCCGCCTCAGTGTGTTGCTTTTCAGTCAGTCCTTAGACATTTCTTGCACAGTGGGGTGCTTGGCCTGGCCAGATAAAGCACAGGGCACCCTGTGTTCTAGTCAAAAAGCAGCTTATCTCCAAAGCCAAGGAGAAGCTGGACAGTGGGGATCGTGGCACACTTGGGAGTGGAAGCCACGTCTGAAGGTGTGGAGGGGGCTGTGTGTTCCCCAAAGACACCGGAGAAGCTCCTAATGCTTGGCCAGGTCAGGAACGTCGGAGCAGGCGGCCAAGACCCTTGCTGCGTGTGGCACAGGCTGAGGTCCACTGCAGTGGAAGACCATGGGACTGTGGTTGATGAGACATGAGAGGGTGATTCTCTCCATGCAGGTGTGGCCCCTGCCTGTCTCACTCAGTTCTCTCGCCAGGTTCACCCCTTAATATATGGGGTGGGCCCAGCCGGGCGTGGCTCAGTGGCTGAGCGTCGACCTAGGATCCAGGCGATCAGGGTTCGATTCCCAGTCAGGGCACATGCCCGGGTTGCAGGCTCCATCCCCAGTTGGGGGCATGCAGGAGGCAGCCGATCAATGACTCTCATATCATTGATATTTTTCTCTCTCTCTCTCCCTCCTTTCCTCTCTCTGAAATCAATAAAGATATATTTTAAAAAACAACAACAACAAACAAAAATATATGGGGTGGGACAGTGAGTAGAGGTCACACAGCGGCCATTCAACTCCAGAGTTGCCCAGAATTCTTGGCTCGGCAACCACGGTGATGGTCAGGCTTCTCCAGAGCTCCCCTGGCAGGCCGACTGAGAGCTGGCCTGTGAAAAGTGTGCCCACAGGAAAACAAGAGGCTGAAATTCAGTCCACAGGCAGTAGCTGTGCACTCAAGGGAAAGGCAAAAGGAATATAACAATCACGAAACCCCCAACATGTGTGTCCTTTACCACAAAGAGGTGCAGGACAAATGGCTCGTTAGTGTGCGTGGGGTGGCGCCCCTGCAGGGCCAAGTTCCAAGTGCCCCGGGGTGGAGCCCATTGCTCCTTGTGCTGCCAGGAGGCCAAGCAGGGCGACTCACTAGGCCACCCTGTCCCCAGATGGCAAAGGCAGCCCCCCGGGAAGCACCTGTTTGTGGCGAAGCACCTCAGGCACGGAACCATCCCCCTGTGGTCTTGTCCGTCGCACCTGCTCGTGGCCTGGGATTAGAAGCCGCATGGCTGTTCTCTCCCCCACAGAGAGGTTTTCTCCGCATTATATTCTGTGAAAACTGTAACCGGCGCCCGGGCGTGTGGCGTTTTGGAGGAGCGCTCGAGCCTGAGGCAGCAGCCCTCGTTCTGAAGGCTCTGCGCTGCCTCGGGCGCCAGCCCCCTCGGAGGCCAGCAGGAGTCAGCCGCTCAGCCGTGCCGACGGCTCTCGGGTGCCCGACCCCGCACGGGCCCAGCCCTGGGACCCCTTCCTGTCCCGCTGGTTTTCAACAGGTTGCAGTTCCTGACACGCACTGGCTGAGGCCGGCGTGTCCCTCAGCCTCCCTGCCTGCCTGCGGTGTAAAACTCGTCTGCTGTTGGAGACGCGTAACTTGGATAGAAGAGCTCAGTACGCGTGGTGCCGCCGGGCCCTGTTCCGGCAGAGCCCGAGGGAGGGCCCGCCGCTGGGAGCAGCCGCACCTGCCCGCGGCTGAGGCCCTGTCCTTGTTAAATTGGCCTCGAGGATCCCAGAATAATGACAGAGCTGAACTTAACTTGCTGGTCTGTTTCTACCACGTGACCACGTCCATGTGTTTATTTGCTGGTACCCGTGATGCTCGAGTGTGTTTAGAGTTAATAATGTGTCCGTTTTCAGCTTAGCGCTGTGCGGACGCACGGACTTCCTGCCTTGTGTTGACTGCTCAGCTCCGAGCACCCGCCTTTGTGGCCGCAGGCTGAGCTGCCGCACAGCGTTTAGCTGGGTGACGCGGGCTTACCCCGGGCGTGCGGTCGGCGGGTGGCGTCTGATCAGCGTCTGCTCCTTTCCTCCCGCAGCTAAGCGTCCACAGTGCCACGTCTGCATCGGTGTCTCCAGGCACCCGGCGGGAACTGGCTGCCCTGCGAGTGCGCTGGCACGAGGGTCGTGCTGTGTGCCTGTGTGACGCCACGTCCCGTCATCGCCCTCCTGTCCGTGTTCACACTTCGCCGTGGGACGTTCATGCGCACAGTCGGGCGGCCACACGATCACAGTGCTCCCTGGACAGCCTGCTCCTCTTTCCTGTTCATGCCAAGATTTAGCAGACCCCCACTGCTCCTCTCTCAAGGACAGTTTGTAAGAGAAATGTATATTTTAAAAACTCTTTGCTGTTAATCTGTTTTGGCTTCTTTAACAAAAAGGGCAAAACACGTTCGGTTTCCTGGTGTGGCCCTGGTTGAGATGGTGGTTTTCCCTGGAAGCGTGGCTGCTGAGGACCAGGGGGCAGGCCGGCGTGAGGGCAGAGCGGCCCTGAAGCCACCACGTTCTGATCGAGCTGGGGCCAGAAGTTTTACGTGGTTTCGGGGCCTGGCCACTGAGGGTTTGCTGGCAGTGCTCTGGGGAACTCGCTGGACTGAATTTTCTGTTTCTCCAGTCTGCTCTGGTTCCTTCACTGTTTCCCTTTCCCTTCTCTGCTTTTCCTTCCTGTCTGGGAGTGTGTGGGGGGAGAAACTGCATAATGAAGGTAAATAAACCCCGGCCTTCGGGGCTGCTGGCCCACAGCTCCGATCACCTTCAGGGCCCACAGTATTGTCGGGATCTTAAAGGGTTTTCATCTGCTTGAGCTGGGGCCCCGGGGCCTCGCTGTGGAGACTGGGTGGGGGCCAGGCCGTCCTGACAAGGTTTTGCTGCAGCCCCAGGGCAGGCAGGTCACGGCCCCCCTCTGAAGCGGGGCAGCTGCGAGGTGTCACTCGCGTGTTCTGCACTGTCCTCGTGGCTGCGTTTCCAGCTTCTCTGTCAGAGCAACACTGTCGTCCTGCAAGGAGGGCGCCGCCCGCGTCCTGAGTCCTGCTCCCCTGCTGCTGCGTGTCCATGTGGCCCCAGCGCCCGCAGCGCATGTCCTTCCGCGCGGCCCCGGGGATCCAGACAGCGGACGCAGACACGCGGCCTGTCCTCAGCACCCTGCCCTGCCTCGCGTCGTCGCTAGTGGATGTGTGGTAGATGGATGAAGCTTGTCCGATGATTCTCGCGTGGTTTAAACAATGTGTGTATTTAAACTGACACCCACAGTGGATGCCAGCGATCTGTGAAGCAGTGGCCCCCTTCCTTTCCTTCCTTCACCTTTCTGTGAAACGGCTATAAGTGGCACACGTGTATTTTAAACATAGCTGTAAAGTGGTTTTTTACACTTTTGACTTAGCATGCGGTGTGTCCACCCCGTGCTGCGAGGGGGCCGCGGCCGGCTCCCCACAGCCGGACTCCCGCCCATCACCTTACCTTGTCGTTTTGAAACACTGCAGGTTTCCGTGGACACTGTACATACTTCTGCCATGTGGTAAATGACTGACTGATATATTTAAGAGTTAATAAATTTGTGATTTCTGCTGACAGTGTGTCTGACTCCCTTTCTTAGGAGCAGGTACTTGTGGCTCAGGTCCCTGCGGCCCTCGTCCCTGCCTGGTCTTAGGTCACAGCCGCTCACCTGGGGCGTAACAACCGGTGCTGAGCTGTGCTGCCTTCTGCACGTGTTCTTGTGGCGACAGCAGGTTCATTTACTGTGGGAACAAAACTGACAAAAGGCGAGTGCTGCTCAGGGCTGTGGGCTCTGCTTTAACTGGGATCTGGCCTGGACACTTCAGCGTCGTTAGCCGCACTGAGCTTAATCGCAAGTGTCCACGGCCCTCAGCTCCCTTCAGGTCACTGAAGCAACACATCTGTGTGTTTGTTCAAGAACATTCTTTCCTTCAACCCAGTTCCTACCTATTCTGTAGAATCCAGGCTTTCCGGCCACACCAGGAGCTGGCTCAGTCCTCATGGAGTCCTCCCGTTGCCCTCTACCACCAACCGTGTCCTCACGGTGTCCCCTCTGCTGGAGCACAGGTGTCTAAGGCTGGAACTCTATTTGTGTTTGTACCCGACCCACGTGCGCGTGGGGAGAGGGCAGCCACACCGTAAATGGGCCTCAGGGTGGAACCAGGGCTGCGCCTGAAGCCGGGATCGTCCCTGCAGCTGACAGCCTTCGTTTCCATGTGTGAGACAAAGTCAAGCAGGAGGGTGAGGGCCCTGGGAGGATCGCAGATGTGGGTGCAGGGCACCGGTGCTCCTGGTTGGTGCAGTATTGAAGGGGCGCCACCAGGACTGCTTGGCACTGAGACCAGGGCCTGTGGAGCTGTGGCCACTGCTCTCTGGGAGCCGCTGAGGACAGACCCCCACCGTCAGCGGGAAGAAGACACTGAGCGAGGCCCTCCCGCCAGCTGGGGCTGTGAAGTGGGTAAACCCATAGGTTCTTGGGACATTCTCAGGGGCCTTAGTGGTAAGTGACCGAAGCCTTGACTCTGTAGTAATAGAAGAATGACTATAACACAGGGCAAAATAGGAAGGAGCTCGACCTTTGAGAGGTTTCGTAGATAAAATTCTGCAGCTTCTAGGCCTGTCTCCCGTGTAGACAGTCGGCTTCGGCAGATAAAGTGAGGACTGAGGACGTGTGGAAAGATGTTGATGAGTGTCAACATGCTAGACCCGGTGTCCTCGGTGTGGACGCCCCAGGCCACCCAGCGCGGCCACTTCTCCCTGCCAGCCCCTCCAGCCGCAGGCCGGGGTTTGTCTCTTGTTCACTGACAGGCCCGTGGTTGAACGACTAACAGAAAAGAGAAAGGAAACTGACTCGGCTGTAGTTAAGGACAAGCTTTCAGCGTCAAATACGGAAATTTGGCCAAAAGGAGTAGAAAGCTGAGTTCCCAATGTCTTAAATAATTAGAAAAATGCAGGACGTTGTCGGTACGTTCCTGGACCTACAGTGAGCCGACGTGTCACGGGCCTGCTTCTGCCCCAAGCTGACTGGTATAAACAAGATCGGGTCTCTGGGCCTCTCGTCCGTGTTACAGTGAAGCAACGCTGCACAGAACAACAGGGCCCTTGAGGACCCGCTGCAGTTAGGTTCCAGAGCAGGATGGACGCGTTAGCTCCAGGTCATTTATTTCAGTGACTCAGCACACAAAGGGACCCATGTTCCTTGCATTTTCCACTTGCCCACCCAAGAGTGGACACTTCTGACCCTAGGTCACAAGGCCTCGTGGCCCCGAGATGCATGACCTGCTCGATGTCACATCCAGACGGGATGGCCACCCCGCCAGTGAGGAGCTCCGGGTTCTCTTCTGCACTCCCAGCCCCAGCGGAGAAACAGCTGGAGCCCAGAGGCCCAGGACGGGGTCCCCGCCACACCCTGGTCAGCCCGGACTGAGGGGCCCTCTCCGGCAGGCGACGGTGTCCAGGTGGGCGGGTGCCTCACACGGCCGGGTGGCTGCTCTTTCAACAAAGAGCTCAGAACCGCCCGGCTCTCTGGAGAGGCAGAGTCTGTTCTCATCGCCCGCTGACAGCTGCTCTTCTCCGCATGTTGGGGGGAGCTGAAGACACTGTTCACCCACAGGCGACCCGTGCGGCCAGTGCTGGAGCATTGTCCCGTCCCCCAGTGCAGGGCTGAGACAGCTTAGTCATGTCACTCCAGTCCCCAAAGGGCCCATGAAGCCAGAACGACATCCTGGCCTTCCAGGTGCCCTGCCCAGCGTGAAGCGTTCGGCTGCTGCGTTGGGTCATCTCGCCTTGGTGCTCCCCTGGGTTCCCTGCCAGTGCTTTGCCAGCCGCCTCATGATCAATGTCCTTGCATATTTGGTTTCCTCCTGCTTCCCCTCAAGCTTTCTAGGAAGATTACCGAGCCTGTTGCCCTTAGTGCTTATTTCACGAGCGAGTGGACCTGCCGAGGACATTCGTTCTCATCACTCATAACCCACAGGCAGGAAACGGGCGCTTGGCCCGATTCCATACGCACAGCAGCCCCGAGACCTTGCCCTCCCACCTCTTGCATCACTTGCCTTTCCGCTTATTAGCACATCACAAATTTCATTTCAAAAACATGCCCCTGTGACACCACCGGAGGCCTCATCCTCATGTGATGAATGTGGTGGAGTTTACGCTGTCGGCCGTAGCACCCAACATCCTTGTTGCAAATTGTTTGCACGGACCCTTGATTGTTTCCTGCAAAGTTGCTAGAGGAGGAAATAGTTTCAGTTATGATTCCCAGGGCAGGAAATTTCCGTGAGATTCAAGTGCACACCCAAGCTCCCTCAGTGGGGGTGGTATCTCCTCTCCACCCCCATTGCACGCCCATCGTCTGCCTCGGTTCCCTCAGTGGAAGGAAACGGCGCCCCCCGGGAGGGAAGCCCGAGGACATCTGCTGCTGGTGGCTTTAGCGGTGAAGAGCTGTCACCTGGCCACATTGTCCTCCAGACGTTCCTGTGCACGGCCGTGCTGAGTAGGCTCCTGCTGGGGTTTCAGTGCCTTTTCAGCTCATTGTGCCCTTTCAAACTCACCCATTCTCCTAGACATCACGTGGGCTGCTCTGAATGAGACTGGGGCTGGCAAATGCCCTGGACCAGCCTGGCAGTCCTGATGGAATTACTCAGCCAGGATGACCAGTGTGGGGACTACTGATTGGCCAAAATGGCTGAACTCAAAAGGATCCAAGACCCTTTGTAGCTCCCTCTTGTTATTTAAGTTCTATTGGTTGCATTAGACAGGATTTTCTAGAGAAATAGAACCAATGGGATATATGCATAGAGAGATTTATTATAAAGATTTGGTTCATATGGTTATGGAGGCTGAGAAGTCCCAAGACCTGCAATTGGCAAACTGGAGACCCAGGAGAGCCCATGTTTCAGTTCAAGTCTAAGTCAAAGCAGTCTTTCCGGGGAAAGGGAGGCTTTATGTTCTATCCAAGCCTTCAACTGATTGGACGAGGCCCACCAGCATTCGGGAAGGCATTCTGCTTTACTTAGTCCACAGATTCAGAGGTTACTCTCCTGCAGAAACACCTGGAATGATGCTGGACCAAATATGTGGACATCCGTGGCCCAGTCCATTCAGCACATACAGTTAACCGTCACACTAGTACTTGCAGTAACGAGAGAAAAAAGCAAGAAAGGGGAAGAATCTGTCTCATTTTCAAGACGACCAGATAAGCGAATAGCTTGTTGATGGCATCCAATCTAAAAACGAATCTTATGAGTAAAAAATCCCAAGAAATAGAATACCTATTGCCAATTTTAAAACAGGAATGAAAAAAGGGTAAATTCATAAGACAGAGAGCGCGGTTACTCAAACAGTTTAGTCTCAGGACACGTTAACTCTAAAATAGTCAGCAGCCTCTTAAAGGCATTATTTACGGCTGTTACATTTACTGACATGGAGCATATTCAGAATTAGAACCAAGAAGCTCCTGAAGCGTGATAACTCACAGGCACACCACCCGCCTTTGTCTGACTTCCATTGTTTCACGTCCTTGACTAAGCCGGGCCCTACGAGTGGCTGATACCCACCATTTTTGACTGGAAAAAAAGGCTGCTTCATAGGGTTCAATCCCACACGTCCATCGGTCACAGTCACTGTCCGTTGTAAGAGGCATTTTCGAGTTTGGGGAAAGTGTTCTCCACAGGCCGGCACCAGCACACGGCCAGGGCGTGGGATTTAGCTGTGAAATGTCTGCCCCTGGGTCTCCATTGAGGCAGCTGTGGCCGCCCACTAAAGGCTCTTTGTGTTTCACAGTAAGACTCATAGGAGGCCATGCGGTACTGGGGGTTTCAAAGGCGATTTTGCTGCATATAATCCAAAACTGCTTTCTCTTCTAGCGTCCATGAGATCAAAAACAGCAAAACCCATGGTTATGGAAAATACAAGGCTCCCGGGCAACAACCTCCCGAAGCACAGAAATAACCCCTTGGAAACAGTGACTCATCTGTTTGGAGTTAGGGACCCGGACTGAGAGGTGGGAAGGATGCCACAGAGACACAGCAGCTCCCAGACAGAGACAGCTGTCAGCTGGCAAGCACACAAACGCAAAAACAAAACTCAAATCCACCTCTGCAGAGCACGAAGCCCCTGAGAATTCTCGCAGGTTCCCAAGGTGCCTACAGAGAAAGGCCATTTCAGTGCTGTGGTCGCAAACCAATAACAAACACGGGTGTGTTTCCAAGGAGCTGGGAAATGCAGGAGGAAGTCGTAGCTGGGAGCTGGCAAGGTTCAGTCTAAGCTGCCTGGTGGCTCCTGCCCTGCTGACCGTCTGGCCACTGCCAGAGCCCTGGCCCCTCCGTCCGCTCCTTGCCCTGTCACTCACATAGCAGAACCAGCCTTTGGGCTCGAGTCTAACTTAATGGCATCTGCGCAGACGGTCTCCTGAAACCTCTGACCTTCAGGGAGTGAGGGGGTGTCGCCCAGGGCAGAGGGCCCCTCTAACGGCACGGGCCTGGGATGCGCATCACTGTTCCCCGAGAAGGGGCTTCCCGTCGCTCATGGGAGTGAGGTGGAGGTTCTTGGGGTACCACTGACACAGCGTTTCA